AGGACCCTACGCCAAAGGTTTCTGAAAACTCCATTAGATAGAACAGATGATTTCATTCGTTCATGAAACGAGATGATGACATTTAGCATACTTTCAGGTATGACAAACTTTTTAAGTACTTTCCAGAGAGCACCCCTGTTTACAGTGTCAAAGGATTTGGTCAGATCGATAAAGACGGTTCATGGTTCTTCTCGCGAAGTTTCACAGCAATCTGACGAAGTGAAAAGATTATATCAATGGTTCCACGACCTGAACGAAAACCACATTGGGATTCCGGATAGATGTCGTCAATTAGATATTTATTCTGTTGAGAATAACACGAACGAGAATTTTGCCAGCAATACTTAGAAGTGCAATGCCACAGAAATTAGCACATACAACCTTTTTGCCTTTGTTCTTGAACAGATGTTTTATGTACGCATCTTTGTAGTCCTGTGGAACAGAACTAACTTTTCATGTCACTTTAAAAAGCTCAAGGAGTTTCTTAACGAGAGTTTTATCACCATATTTTAAAAATTCGTGGGGAATAGCATCTTTTTCAGGACAGTTGCTTGATAGAATCCTGAATTTCCTTTAGGCATGACTCAAGAGACAACTGGGAAATTTCTGGTCACTGATGAATTGAAGCAATGACGTTGTCATCGATGGCAGAGGTGGAATTAAGAACACTTTCAAAGTGTTGTTTTCATCGTGATTCAATTTCCGTCTTGTCTGTGTGGTGTGTGTTACCGTCAGACGACATAACAGGTGAAATTCCATTTCATTGTGGATTGTACACCTTTTTAAGGCCTTCATAGAATGCTTTGGGATCTTTTCTCTCAGCTGCCGCCGGGATTTCCACAGCCTTAGCAGACCACCAGGAATCTTTCATTTTCTGAGAGCATTTTGCACTTCCCGCTTACACTGCTTATATATACGTTTTTTGACGGACAATTTTTGTTGTTGAACATGAGCATCATGTTCAACAACTCGATGGTCGTCAGTAGTCACCACTATGGGATCGCGTGATTTAGCCTATCGCACCCGGCCGGAAGTTACTGCCGGCTACTCAAACATCTAAAAGCGACACCGCGGAAAACATAACGAATGCCGTTAACTTCCGGTGACTCAGCGTTTTTCAGTCAACGTCTCACACACACTAAAAAAAAGAACGAAATATTTCCTAACCAAAAACAATTACCAGAAACTATTTTGTATATACATGGTGTCCGAATGGAACCCATGTGTACAGCCAAAAAGTAGAAGGTAATTTTCAGTCATCACCCCAAATATATCACTAAAAGGCTACATTGCCGACCTCAGCCTATATAAACACAGCGGATTTCAATTTTTTCGTTGGGGTTTTTGACAAATATTGGATCGTTTCTTGGCCTATGGCTGAGATTCGATCAAGGCTTCGACTAGCTTGGACTGGATCCGGCCTGGACCTGTTAGGACAAGTCATGACCAGCTTTGACTAGGCTCTGACCAGCTTGGACAAGCTATGACCAATTTTGACCAGTGGCCTTTGAGTGGAAACACTCGGGTCTCCCACGTTAAAGGACCTTGTGTCACATCTTGACTTTGTGGGAATCAAGTAAATATCATTCTCCCGGCGGATTTTCGTTGGGGGTTTTGACAAATATTGGATCGTTTCTTGGCCTATGGCTGAGATTCGATCAAGGCTTCGACTAGCTTGGACTGGCTCCGGCCTGGACCTGTTAGGACAAGTCATGACCATCTTTGACTAAGCTCTGACTAGCTTGGACAAACTATGACCAATTTTGACCAGTGGCCTTTGAGTGGAAACACTCGGGTCTCCCACGTTAAAGGACCTTGTGTCACATCTTGACTTTGTGGGAATCAAGTAAATACCACTCTCCCGACGAATTTTCTCGTTGGGGTTTTTGACAAATATTGGATCGGTTTTTGGCCTATGGCTGAGATTCGATCAAAGCTTTGACTAGCTTGGACTGGCTCCGGCCTGGACTTGCTAGGACAAGTCATGACTAGCTTTGACTAGGCTCTGACCAGCTTGGACAAGCTATGACCAGTTTTGGACCAGTGGCCTTTGGGTGGAAACACTCGGGTCTCCCACGTTAAACGACCTTGTGTCACATCTTGACTTTGTGGGAATCAAGTAACTACCACTCTCCCGGCGGATTTTCGTTGGGGGTTTTGACAAATTTTGGATCGTTTATTGGCCTATGGCTGAGATTCGATCAAGGCTTCGATTAGCTTGGACTGGCTCCGGCCTGGACCTGTTAGGACAAGTCATGACCAGCTTTGACTAAGCTCTGACTAGCTTGGACATGCTTTGACCAATTTTGACCAGTGGCCTTTGAGTGGAAACACTCGGGTCTCTTACGTTAAACGACCTTGTGTCACATCTTGACTTTGTGGAAATCAAGTACTATACCACTCTCCCGACAAAATTTTCGTTGGGGTTTTTGACAAATATTGGATCGTTTCTTGTCCTATGGCTGAGATTCGATCAAGGCTTCGACTAGCTTGGACTGACTCCGGCCTGGACCTGTTAGGACAAATCATGACCAGCTTTGACTAAGCTCTGACCAGCTTGGACATGCTTTGACCAATTTTGACCAGTGGCCTTTGAGTGGAAACACTCGGGTCTCCAACGTTAAACGACCTTGTGTCACATCTTGACTTTGTGGGAATCAAGTAAATAGCACTCTCCCGGCGGAATTTTTCGTTGGGGTTTTTGACCAAAATTGGATCGTTTCTTGGCCTATGGCTGAGATTCGATCAAGGCTTCGACTAGCTTGGACTGGCTCCGGCCTGGACCTGTTAGCATAAGTCATGACCAGCTTTGACTAAGCTCTGACCACCTTGGACAAGCTATGACCAATTTTGCCCAGTGGCATTTGAGTGGAAACACTCGGGTCTCCCACGTTAAACGACCTTGTGTCACATCTTGACTTTGTGGGAATCAAGTAACTACCACTCTCCCGGCGGATTTTCGTTGGGGGTTTTGACAAATTTTGGATCGTTTCTTGGCCTATGGCTGAGATTCGATCAAGGCTTCGACTAGCTTGGACTGGCTCCGGCCTGGACCTGTTAGGACAAGTCATGACCAGCTTTGACTAAGCTCTGACTAGCTTGGACAAGCTATGACCAATTTTGACCAGTGGACTTTGAGTGGAAACACTCGGGTCTCCCACGTTAAACGACCTTGTGTCACATCTTGACTTTGTGGGAATCAAGTAAATACCACTCTCCCGGCGGATTTTTTCGTTGGGGTTTTTGACCAATATTGGATCGTTTCTTGGCCTATGGCTGAGATTTGATCAAGGCTTTGACTAGCTTGGCCTGGCTCCGGGCTGGACTTGCTAGGACAAGTCATGACTAGCTTTGACTAGGCTCTGACCAGCTTGGACAAGCTATGACCAGTTTTGGACCAGTGGCCTTTGAGTGGAAACACTCGGGTCTCCCACGTTAAAGGACCTTGTGTCACATCTTGACTTTGTGGGAATCAAGTACATACCACTCTCCCGGCGGATTTTTTCGTTGGGGTTTTTGACCAATATTGGATCGTTTCTTGGCCTATGGCTGAGATTCGATCAAGGCTTCGACTAGCTTGGACTGGCTCCGGCCTGGACCTGTTAGCATAAGTCATGACCAGCTTTGACTAAGCTCTGACCAGCTTGGACATGCTTTGACCAATTTTGACCAGTGGCCTTTGAGTGGAAACACTCGGGTCTCCAACGTTAAACGACCTTGTGTCACATGTTGACTTTGTGGGAATCAAGTAACTACCACTCTCCCGGCGGATTTTCGTTGGGGGTTTTGACAAATTTTGGATCGTTTCTTGGCCTATGGCTGAGATTCGATCAAGGCTTCGACTAGCTTGGACTGGCTCCGGCCTGGACCTGTTAGGACAAGTCATGACCAGCTTTGACTAAGCTCTGACTAGCTTGGACATGCTTTGACCAATTTTGACCAGTGGCCTTTGAGTGGAAACACTCGGGTCTCCCACGTTAAACGACCTTGTGTCACATCTTGACTTTGTGGGAATCAAGTAAATACCACTCTCCCGGCGGATTTTGGCCTCGGGGTTGAGCGACGAGCTCCCCCTCTCACGTTCCCTGATCACACGAAGCATCTAGAGCCAGAGCCAGAGCCAGCAGCAGCAGTCAGCCAACGCAGCTCCAATCAGCAGAAGCCAGCCGACGCAGCTCCAATCAGCAGCAGTCAGCCGGCTACATGATATGCACTAGCCTATCCTCGGCTACATGATATGCACTAGTCTACCCTCGGCTACATGATATGCACTAGCCTTCACTCGGTTACATGATATGCACTAGGCTACACCCGGTTACATGATATGCACTAGGCTACACTCGGTTACATGATATGAACTAGCCTATCCTCGGCTACATGATATGCACTAGTCTACCCTCGGTTACATGATATGCACTAGTCTACCCTCGGTTACATGATATGCACTAGTCGTTTTTCCAGACTACGCCTGGTTACATAATATGCAATAGTCCTTTTCAGGACTAACCTAGCCGCGTTATTACGAACGTCCTTTTATTAGGACTACCAAGCTGCGATCCTGCACGACAGTCTACCCAAGGACGAACTGACTACACCAGCGCTGTCCGCGTCGATCCTCTCTCTCCTCAAGCGCCGATGCGCTCTTTAATCAAGTACAGACATCCAGGGATCGACTGGACCTCGAACACCGCTATTCAATCGGCCTACCTCCAAGCTGTCGCCTTGAAACCTGACAACGCTCCTTCAAAACTACACGACCGAACTACCACAAACGATTATTTGTATATACTTGTGCCAGATTATTTAATAAAATTTGGCTTAAACTTTTACATCCTCGTCTTTGTTGTCCTTGCTTCGATCGTATTACCCTATATTATTTTTCTGCTTGCGGGGTTAACAGTCAACCTGCTTACCGCCGCAACAAGTGGTGACCCCGATATTTACGATCGAGCAAGATGGCAACTGACGAGTAGGAACAGAATACTCTCATAAATGTAGCAATGCCACTCACAAACCTCCCTCCGTACAACGAACAGAACACCAAGAACTGGTTTCTGCAGTTGGAAGCCATTTTCTCTGTACGGAGAATAACGTCACAGGAAGCAAAATTCGCCAACGTGGTACAAGTTTTGCCACCTTCAGTTGTCGACGAAGTAGCCGACATTTTGGAACATGTACCCGAGCAGGAGCCATATACTCGCCTCAAGGATGCGATTTTGAAACGAACCGGCCGTTCGGACGAGGAACTGCTCCGGGAACTTTTTACCCACGTCACCAGGGGCGACAGAACACCCTCACAGCTTCTACGCTTCATGAGGAGCCGACTGGGGAAACATTCCATAGCCGAATCAATCTTGCGCGAACTGTGGATGGACAAGTTACCCACTACAATAACGCAGATATTGGCACAAATCGCTGACAGTACTCCACTAGACCAGTTAGCAAACTCCGCTGACCGCATCGCAACTAAACTGGACCAAGGAGTGTGTGCCGTGCAGCGCCCAGACGACACACCAGCCAAAGACACGGATCTGGAAAAGGCAGTAGCTGACCTGCAACATCATCTGCAGGATATACGAATGCTCCTTTCCCGCAAATCGAGAGGCCCGATGCTGGCGGTTGGCGACGGAGAGCGCGGAGTACCAGCAGGGATCGACGAGTCGACCCGGAATTATGCTGGTACCATCACAGATTCGGCACCAGGGCAAGGAATTGCTCGGCACCCTGCAAATACAGCTCCAAAACCAAGTCGGAAAACTAAACAGCCGGCGGGTAGGAGCGGCAGAACCCCCCGGCAAAAACATACGAAGCCGCCTTTTCTACGTATGGGACCGACGGAACCACATAAAGTTCTTAGTGGACACAGGAGCAGCAATCAGCGTGATACCCCACAAAGAACAGCAAGACCGAAAGGCGACCCCGTATAAGCTCCAGGCAGCAAACGGCTCGACGATCGAGACATATGGAGCCAAGACACTGACTCTTAACATCGGCATGCGGCGTGATTTTACCTGGACTTTCACCCAGGCAGACGTAAAAACGCCAATACTCGGGGCAGATTTCCTGGCCCATTATGATCTAGCCGTGCATATGAATACGAGGACTTTATCAGACAATACCACGAACATTGCTGTTAAAGGCACCCTCTCTCGACACAACACCACTGGAATCAGTGTAACAACTTGCCACGGACGAGAGTACATCGAGATCCTAAACAGATACCCGGACCTCATTCAACCACTCGCAGGTACCGGTCCGGCAAAACACCAAACACAGCACCAAATAAAGACCAGTGGACAGCCAACATTTTCCCACCCACGACGACTTCCTCCTCATAAGCTGGAATACGCCCAAAAGGAATTTAACAATATGCTGAAGGACGGATTCATACGACCCTCCGATAGCCCATACGCCTCACCCCTACATCTCGTACCTAAACCGGGAAGCACAGACTTTAGGGTATGCGTCGATTATAGCTATCCGGTCCCGCACATACACGATTTCGCCTCAGGGTTGCAGGGCACTCGCGTCTTTTTGAAGATAGACCTAACTAAGGCTTACCACCAGATTCCCATAGCTCCGGAGGACATCCCAAAGACCGCCGTAACCACTCCCTTTGGTCTCTTCGAATACCTCAAGATGCCCTTTGGCCTGAGGAATGCAGCACAAGCGTTTCAAGGCTTCATAGATGAGGTACTGCGAGGCCTAACGTACGCATATGCCTACATCGATGACTTAATAGTAGCCAGCACAGATGAAAACACACACAAACAACATCTAAACGAAGTGTTCCAAAGGATAGCACTTTATGGACTCCGGCTGAACATCGACAAATGCACTTTCGGGGCATCTGAGGTGAATTTCTTGGGTCATCATATCGACAAAGATGGTATCACACCATTACCCGAGAAAATCGACGCAATTAAAAATTTCCCTACGCCTACATCCACAAAACAAATCAGAGGATTTATCGGTATGATAAATTTTTACCGCAGGTTCATCCCCGACTGCTCGACAATTCTCTCCCCGTTGACAAACCTCATAGAGCGGAAGAATAAACAAATTACCCCAGAGGGAGATACCTTGCGGGCTTTCGAAACGGCAAAGACAGCGCTGATAAACTTCACAAAACTCTCATTCATCGAAAACAACCCGGAAACAAGAATTTTCCTTACAACAGACGCTTCCGACGTTGGAATAGGAGCAGTAGTGGAGCAGCAAGTGAACATGACGAGACAGCCGATAGCCTTCTTCTCAGCTAAACTCTCTACAGCCCAGAGAAGATACAGTACCTTCTCACGAGAACTCCTGGCGATCTACCTGTCCATACGTCATTTTCGACATCTTCTGGAAGGCAGACATTTCACTATCTTCACGGATCACAAACCACTGACCAACGCGATGAATGTCAGCGCAGACAAGTATACATCCCGTGAAACACGTCACCTCGACTACATCTCACAGTTTACGACGGACATCAGGCACGTCCAAGGAAAGAACAACACCGTCGCAGACACATTGTCCAGAACAGACGTCAATGCCATGGATAACGACGTTTGGAGCTGATAGCCGACAAACAAAAAGACGATACGACGATACCTGACATCATTAAGGAGACTTCTTTGTAACTGCAGGAATTCCCGTGTCCGTTCAGCGATAAAACTCTTTTCTGCGACACCGCACTGGATACTCCAAGACCGTACATTCCTCCATCTCTTAGAAAAAAGTATTTCTCCATCTCCACAATCTATCCCATCCGAGCAAGCGAGCAACCGTCAAACTTATCGCCGATCGATTTGTGTGGCCCAACATGAATTCAGACATCAGGAATTGGGTCTCAACCTGCATACAATGTCAGAAATGCAAAATTCAGAGGCACACAAAATCACCAGTTGGAACATTCGCCACACCCGACGCACGTTTCAGTCATATCCACGTTGACCTCGTCGGGCCTCTACCAATGTGCCAGGGGTACCAATACCTTCTAACAATCATAGACCGTTTTTCGAGATGACCAGTCGCTGTGCCGATTAAGGACATTTCCGCTACCACAGTTTCTAAAGCCATTCTCACCAACTGGATTACAAACTTTGGCGTACCCCAAGTTCTCACTACAGATCGGGGACCACAATTTCAGTCCTCGCTTTTCCGAGAATTCTCTCATACTTTTGGGTGTCAGACACATTAAAACGACGGCTTACCATCCTTGCGCAAACGGCCTCGTGGAGAGATTTCACCGATCCTTAAAGACGTCCCTGTCAACCAAACTCGACATACACAACTGGGTCGACAACCTCCCCATGACCATGTTCTCTTTGCGGAATACCCTCAAAACTGATTTAGGGTGTTCGACAGCGGAGCTCGTGTTTGGCACGCCTCTCTCCTTACCAGGACAATATTTTCACCTTCCGCAGTACTCTTGCACAGCCTCACCAAGTTCTTTCGTGCAAGATCTGCGCCACAAAATGGACAAACTTACATACACTCCCCCACGACAACAAACCACAAGCTCCTACTTACCACAGAAATTGGATACCTGCGATTTTGTTTTTGTTAGGGACGACGCCGTAAAAAAACCTCTCACACCTAGCTACCAAGGCCCTTTTAAAGTTCTGAAGCGTTCTAAGAAATTTGTCACGATCATGCGCGGCAAAGACAAAGATACAGTCTCCATCGACCGACTTAAACCAGCTTGGTTAGAGGAAACTTCTCCCGAGCCAGACTTACCAACAACGACGGAAGATGAAACAACAACACCAGTCGTACGAACAAAATCAGGCAGAAGAGTTCATTTTCCTGCCAAACTAAAGACTTACATTTTTTTTTGTGAATTGATCACGATCAATCCTCTAGGAAGGGGGCCTTATCGCACCCGGCCGGAAGTTACTGCCGGCTACTCAAACATCTAAAAGCGTCACTGCGGAAAACATAACGAATGCCGTTAACTTCCGGTGACTCAGCGTTTTTCAGTCAACGTCTCGCACAAACTAGAAAAAAAAAAAACGAAACATTTACATATACGAACTTTCCTAACCAAAAACAATTACCAGAAACTACTTTGTATACACATGGTGTCTGAATGGAACCCATGTGTACAGCCAAAAAGTAGAAGGTAATTTTCAGTCATCACCCCAAATATATCGCTGACAGGCTACGTTGCCGACCATCAGCCTATATAAACACAGCGGATTTCTTCCACCCAAAACTCTCCTGGCGGATTTTGGCCTCGGGGTTGAGCGACGAGCTCCCCCTCTCACCTTCGCTGACCACACGAAGGAGCCAGATCCAGCAGCAGCAGCTAGCCGACGCAGCTCCAATCAGCAGCAGCCAGCCGGCTACATGATATGCACTAGTCTATCCTCGGCTACATGATATACACTCGTCTACCCTCGGCTACATGATATGCACTAGCCTACACTCGGTTACATGATATGCACTAGCCTATACTCGGCTACATGATATGCACTAGTCTACCCTCGGCTACATGATATGCACTAGTCTACCCTCGGCTACATGATATGCACTAGTCTACCCTCGGTTACATGATATGCACTAGTCTACCCTCGGTTACATGATATGCACTAGTCGTTTTTCCAGACTACGCCTGGTTACATAATATGCAATAGTCCTTTTCAGGACTAACCTCGCCGCGTTATTACGAACGTCCTTTTATTAGGACTACCAAGCTGCGATCCTGCATGACAGTCTACCCAAGGACGAACTGACTACACCAGCGCTGTCCGCGTCGATCCTCTCTCTCCTCAAGTGCCGACGCGCTCTTTAATCAAGTACAGACATCCAGGGATCGACTGGACCTCGAACACCGCTATTCAATCGGCCTACCTCCAAGCTGTCGCCTTGAAACCTGACAACGTTCCTTCAAAACTACACGACCGAACTACCACAAACGATTATTTGTATATACTTGTGCCAGATTATTTAATAAAATTTGGCTTAAACTTTTACATCCTCGTCTTTGTTGTCCTTGCTTCGATCGTATTACCCTATATTATTTTTCTGCTTGAGGGGTTAACAGTCAACCTGCTTAGCGCCGCAACAAGCCCGCCTGCTGAAGCGGTTTACAGGGTTTGGCGCGAGGAGCTTTAAGGGATGGACGAAGACCAGTGTTGCCCATTCATCTTAATAATAAGAGCAGCAGCCGAGCAACAGAGGTACTATTTCTACCCACTGCCCCCCATACACGCATAAAACATACACTAGATGTCGGAGTAAACGGATCGTCATCAATATACAATATATTGCTATGAAGTATAAATTATAAAGTATAAGAGAAAATGTTATTATTAATATTGTGGTTAAAAAAAAATGATCTCATTGGCGTCTGTACGTAAAAAGTCTCGTGTGAAAGCTATATATTGTTTATTTTAAGCTGGCAAAAGAAATTAACGCGGAATCACGGCGTTCATAGGACGGGAGTTGAATAGAATAAGATGGAGTGTACGAAAGACGGTGAGAGAAGAGTAATTTAGTCTACAAAAAAGCTAAAAATATGGAGTGTACGAAAGACGGAGAGAGAAGAGGAATTTAATTTACAAACAGCAAAACATCTACGTTTTGTCACTCAGAATTAACGTCTGCTAAGGAATTTTAAGACAGTCTTTTCGAATTTAAACTACAAATATTGTTGTTGTTGTTGTTTAAAAATATTTGAAAGATAAATAATAAAACAAATTGGCTAGTAATAAAAACGAAACAAAATAACGTTATAAGTGGGAACGCATTTTCAATAAAATTGAAATTACGTTATTTTGCAATTAATAAATAAGAAAATGTAAAGAAATAAAATTCTTACTAAACATTGTTAAAAAAAGAAACTTTGAATATAAATAATAATAGATAAAAAATCGGCGATAATGAGCCAAAGATAAACAAAATAAACAATTAAAAAAAATGCTTTCCTCGAATTCCGAAAATTACGACTACTTTCGTAAAAACAACAGAGAAATAAATGTTACGTTTAAAAATATAAATAGATTGGAATTATTCATGCCACTATATAATTAATCTAACAAATACATTAAATGTTCTTAATATATATAACTCCTAGCGAGAAATTACACTTGCGAAACAACAATTATTTTAAAATAAAAAAGACAGAAAGAAAAAAAAAGAAGAAAAATCGTTGTATTCCATTTAATAGCACTTGCTCGATAATACTCGCTCGTAAATAACCACCGAATAGTAATTCGTACAGTGAATAGAATAGAGAACAGCGGTCCCTATAGTAATAGAAGATAGAGTAGAAGTGGTGATAATATTTATTGTACAAAAGTACAAATGTGGTACAAGGCCAAAAGGGGGAATGGGGAAAAAGATGGTCTTCTTCTGTCTTAAGACTTAGCTAGCCACAAGCACTGACCCAAACATACAAACAATATTCCTTTCACCAAAACAAAGCATTCTTACATTACCATTCTTACCTCATCCACCATAATGCCTCAAAAACTCTATGAAGTCCTAACTAGTCCCCATATGTACAATTCCTTGTCTGTGGTGAGGAGGGGGGAATAAAACTAACAATTTAAAAATCTAAAAGCCCCAATGAGTATTTACATAAGAGTACAAACTATGGAGGTAACAGATCTTGCGACTAACCATGGCGGATCTCTCTCCCTAAAAGAAGGAGAACAAGAGCCTTACAAACGTCAACAAAGTGTCAGACGGGAATGGAAGGACGGAGGGTTGGTAAAGGAGAATCGGGTAGATGTACGAGGCACATACTTCCGCCCTCCCTTTCAAGGAAAGATTCCCCCGGGACCATAGACGAACTGCGACATCGACCTTCTCCCGTACCTCCGACCAATTCATTTCCAACACGAGGTCGAGACCGAACCAGACGACGAGTATCTTGACCGGCTCGTCCGTCCTGAGAAAAGATCCGGGAAGAGAAACTCCTTCCCACGAACCCAACCGCAAGCCAAAAGACTTATCGCGGTTGATCTTGGCCCCTGGCACCATCTCATAACCTCTGATTTCTCTGCTGACTTCGTTACGTTCGGCTTTGCTCGACACAAGAACCGAAACGTCATCAGCATAGACGGAGTACTTGGCCGACGTGGTAAGGAAATTCCGCGAAGGACCGGATTCATCTTCAACTTACGCAGGAAAGGTTCCAACGCAAGAACGTGCAGCAATGAAGACAGCGGACAACCTTGACGAATAGAGCGAGACAAAATGAAAGGTTTCGATCTTACCCCATTCACTTCTACCAGCGCACAGGGGGGCGCATACAGCAGTCGGATCCAAGTGTGAAAGTGGAGCCCGAAACCGGCGTCCGAAAGAATAGACTCCAAAAATCAATTGTCAATCCTATCGAAAGCCCTGAACTGATCTAAATTGATCAGCGCGGCATCACTGTCGACTTGCTCGATGATCAAGCGTACTAAATAAAGGTTGTTCTGAATAGTCCTGCCCTTCTCAGCACAAGTCTGCTCGGAACCAATCAGACTAGAGAGGACAGCCTGGAAACGGTCGGCTAAGACCTTGGCTAATAAATATCTTCAAGTGTGTTTAACATCATCAAAAGCCGATAATTATATAACCCATTCCATCGTCCTTTCTCTTGCGAAGCAACTTGGTCACGCCCCTGGTAGAGCGTTGATGTATAGAACCTTGCTTCATCCAGTTGTTGTAAATCAGTGCTGTCAATGGGACAAAGACGAGTGACTGCCTCAAGTACATTTCGTAAGGAAGACTATCTAATCCCGGAGTCTTGTCCAGGCCAACCTATTTCAGCGCATCCCAGATCTCAGATTCAAGGCGGGGAGAGTCAGTTAAATAGGCATCGAACTGAGCAGGGCTCAGATCGGGCTCCCTGGTAAACAGCACCTGAAAGTAGTCACGGAAAGCCTCACAAATGCCCACGTCTGTAGTTACAGTCCGTTTGTCCGGCAATGTGATGCTTGTCCGGAAATGTGATGCTTGTGATATGATGACTAGATATCCTACAAGCTTCCTCTGCACGCAATGAAGCGACCATGTTCGTAGCCTCTTTTTAGTCTAACCCTAACTACTCTACTCTGATCTTTCTTGATAAGCAAGGAGGCCAGCTCTGCCTTAGCTAAGGCTACGTACTCACTATCACGGGATTTGATCGCCAGATCTACTTTTTTCTCACAAGACTTTTGCCCTGCTGATCCTGCTAGATTGAGTCGGTGACTAAAAGCAAAGTTTGGATTTCAAAGAATCCCACCACTTATTCTCAGCCACAGCCCCCGACAATTTCCGCTGAAGCATTAGTAAAAGCTGGTCCCTGAAATCTTGTTCACCAAATAATGATACGTTCAATTTCCAGTAACCAGTCATCTTAACCTTAGGCTTATCTAAGTTTACACGAACAAGCCTATGATCCGAGCAAACTATATAATGGAAACTTGGACATTCTAAAAGCCTTACGTTGACTCTCTTAACTAGAAATCTGTCGATGTAGCTTGCGCTCACCATCGAATCCGAGCTGCCGCCACTAGTTCAAGTCCATACTACCTCCCGGGGGTACTCATTTAGATAATTATCGACAAGATCAAACCCGTCGATAAAATCCCCGAAACGGCTTAACATCCGGGTTGTTAGTACCCGACTTTTGCCCTATACGATCTACATCGGGATCAAGGTCTGTATTCCAATCACCCGCTAGGACTATCGAACGAGATGTCATCAAAAACGGCGTGATGTGCAGAAACAAATCACACCGCTGCGCATTGTCATTGGGCGCATAAACCCCAATGAGACGAAGAGCCTTATCCTGTATGGTAACATCCAGCACCCAAAGCCTGCCCACCGGATCCCCGAAGACAAGAGTACATGCCGCATCCAGAGACTTGCTCACCAGCCAGGAAATACCACTTGAGCGTCCATCAAAACATGCTGAATAGAGGACGAATCTCCTAGACAGCATGTCTTAAGATAAAAAAATGGGTCTCCTGCTCACAACAAACATCTACTCCGAGGCGCTGAAGATCGCGATCGAGCCTCGCCCCTCGAGACTCCGACCTCAGGCCTCGGGCATTCAGACTTGTTAACCAGTCATTTATCAAACCGATTAGCGTTGGGACACTGGTTTGAACGTGATCGGGGTAAGGATACCGACAGCCTCTCTCATTGACCCATGGTCCATCTTAGTCTTGATGGTACCGTCTTGGGAGAGACTGCCTATATCCCAGGGAAATGTCAGTTTTAATAGAGGGAGGGGTGAACTAAAACTGGGACCCTCCCTGCACAAAACTGTTTCAAATTCTTTGTTTGTTGTCTACAATTGCAATTGCAATCTTAAAAGAGACAATGGCCTCGCCCATGCCTGCCGTGCCCCCGATCTAGATCTAATTACAGTTTGAGCCTCGGGAAAGTTCTGAGGCTCTTCCGCATAATTGTCAGCATATTGCTTGACTTAGAGTAGATATTTTAAATCCTTTATTCTATTTCCACAGTCGCGGGCTAATTTAGCCTGGGCCGGGGAAATGTGACAGACATCTTCCCCTAAGTTATATATATGCTTATTTGATTTTTTCCCTTTATCTTTTTTCTCTAGAGAAGGACATCTTTGTCTTTTGGTGGCAGGAGGTGGCATTTCAGGATTCTAGATGGAGGAAGGACTGGTAGCATGACGAGGTTTATAAGAGGGGTTTTGTCTGAAGGGGCTGGGATCTCTACTGAGAGGGGATGAGGGATGGGAAGAATGTGACTGTGGTGAATGTGGGGGCGGGGTAGAGGATATGGAGAGAGTGGCCACTTTATAAAGAGCGGTTATCTAATTTTTCCTTTAACTGTTTGATTTTTTCCGTTTTTTCATATCCTGTGTCGTACTTCTTCTGTTGTTCCTTGAATGATAGAGGGAGTGGGACTGTTCGTGCCTTTCGTCTCGGGGGCTTCAGGGACTGGGGACCCGTTGTCTGACGCTTCCCTCTGGCCTTGCCAGCAACCAGCCGTTCCTCCTCTCCCTTCTCTACAACTGCACTAGCAGCGGGCAAAAGGCAAGAGACAGTGGTCAGAGGAGGGCCTTAAGAAGTTTTATAAAATTAAACCTGGATATTAACCTTATGATATTAAATTGGGGTTATATGAAGAATGAAATGTTAATTTGAAACTAACAG